GCCTCCCAAGTAGCTGGGACCACAGGCGCCCACCACAATTTTTTGGTTGCAGCCATCATTGTTGTTTGGTGGGCCCGGGCTGGATTCGAACCGCTACTTAGGTGTATGTGGCTGGCGCCTTAGCCACTTGAGCCACAGGCGTCAAGCCAAGGCAAGGATTTATTTCCAATCTTTAGCATACATTTCCAATTTATTTGTAAATTACCCCTATTTATAATTTTCTACATATATCTGTTTTATATAAAAATCCTACCAAAACGAGTTATTCTAGGCACCAACTATTGCAATCACCCAGGTGGAAAATAACTTTTGATTGCGTGGTCACATAATCAAGTATCATGAATTAATGTGTTTCCAAACCAAGCCACAATTTCCGTGAAAGCCTAGTCCATCTTTTAAATGCTTAAGAATGATTACCATGAAATACCAATAAGAAAAGGTCTTAGGATGATCAAGGTACTTCATGAATACCATTCGTAGGCATGAAAGATGAGAGGTATCAGATTTTAGGGAGAAGCTTCAAGAATCAAAGGGGATGAATTATGGAATTTTCTAGAAAGTTTAGCTGTACATTAAAGAAGAAGTTTATTATTCAGGAGGACAGGAAACAGGAACCCTCCTACCAACTATCCTTCAGACTTTTAGAGGCATTCATGCTTCCAAAGGACTTTGAGTATTTTTAAATGGCCCTAATTTTGAACGCAGTTCAAATGACCTGTGAGCAATAAAGAATGGCTCTGTTTATTACACACCAAGAAAAGATTATGGCATCTGTGGTAGACAGCATTTTAAAGAAGTCCCCCCAAGATTCCTGTCAGTTATTCAATCAAATACTAAGAGTACTGCTACAAAGGGACTTTGCAGGTGGAATCAAGGTTACTAATCAGCTGGCCTTCAAGAGATGATCTTAGATTATCCTGGTGGACCCACTATAATCACAGGAGGCCTTAAAAGTGAAGAAGAAGGGCTTGGCTTCCATAGCACAGTGGTTATGGAGCCAGCCACACACACCGAAGCTGACAGGTTCGAACCCGGTCCAGGCCAGCTAAAACAACAACAACTGCAACAAAAAATAGCCAGGCATTGTGGCAGGTGCCTGTAGTCCCAGCTACTTGGGAGGCTGAGGCAAGAGAATCACTTAAGCCCAAGAGTTTG